AGCCCCCGCGCCCGCTCCGGCCCCCGCGCCCGCGCCCGCCCCGCCGCCCGCCGCCAACAGTCAGCCCGGGCCCGCCGCCGCCGCCGCGCCCGCGCAGGTGGCCAAGGCCGACTCGCCCAAGACGGCGGTGCAGCCGGCGCCCGCGCCGCCGCAGGCCCTGGCGGCCAGCTGCCCGGCCGGCGCGGGGGCCGGCATGATCCTCGGGCCAACTATGCAAGGGGCGCTGCCCGCCGCTGCCGCCGCTGGACTGCCGCCGCCGCCGCCGCCGGCCCCCGGCACCCCCACCGGGCTGCCCAAGGGCTCGGCCAGCGCGGGGCCCCAGAGCCTGCCCAGGACGCCGTCGGCCACCAGCGGCGGGATCCGGGCCACGCTGACGCCCACGGTCCTCGCCCCCCGCCTGCCGCAGCCGCCTCAGAACCCGACCAACATCCAGAACTTCCAGCTGCCCCCAGGTGAGTGGCCGCGTCGGGCGGGCCTGGCCGCCCCCGCCGGGCGTCCAGGAAGTTGTGGGGCTGGCAGGGCGCTGAGGTCACGGGTCTCGCGCGGGCCTGCCGCGAGGGAACCGGGGCGCTTCCCTGCCGGGTGCGCGAGAGTGTGTGCGAGTGTGAGTGCGCGCGCGCCCGTGGGGGGCCGTGGCCGCGGGGGTCCCTTTGCTCGGGCAGCGCTGGTCTTCAGCTCGCTCTCTGCACTGCAAAGTTTCTGGGCTCCCACAGTGCAGCAGCTCCTTTCCCGGCCGTGTGTGCCCCTGCCCGCCCCTCCCCTCTTTTCTCCCCTCCCCTCCTCTCCTCTCCTCTCCTCTTCTCTCTTTTCTCCTCCCTCCCCCCCCTCGGCCCCCCCCCAGCCCGCGGCGGAGAGCTGTGGCGGCGGGCCTCCAGGGGCACGGCTTGCTGGGTTGTATAGCTCGCGTCCATGCTTCTCCCTGTTTGGTGCTCCGCCTCCTGGTTTTTGGGGCTAGTTGTGTCATGGCCTGTGTCCTCACTGAACTTTGCTGCTCCTCTGCTACCCTGGGCTGTCATGGAGGGCTAGGCACTCCTCCTCCCCCTCCCCGCCCCACTGGTGAGGTCAGGCAGAGTAGTGACACTCCTTGTGGCTGGGCAAGTCAGCGTGGAAAGCTTCCGCTTCCCTGCTTACACCAGGATGGCAGAGATCCCAGGTGAGCCCTGGAGGGATCCTGGGGCACACACCCTTCCTGGTCCCGGTCCTTGCTTCCACACTGTGCTGCCCGCTTTCTGCGGCCCCTGTGGGCCGCAGTACGGCGTTCCGATGAAAGGGTGGGTGCCCAGCTGCTTTGCTTCGTACTCTCCAGGGAAACCAGTGGACCTCTCGGAGGTACCGGCTGGGCCTGGTGACGTGCAGCCGTGCGCTCCACAGCCCGGGCCCGCTCTCGGTCTCCCGTGTCAGCTGGACGGTTGGTTAGGGTTCTTCAGGTCTGACGGCCCAAGGCCCCCCACAGCATCCCAGGTCATGCTGCTTTGTTTGGGGATTCCCAAGCAGAGGGACGCCTAAGCAAGCCGAGGCGCCCCAAGTCCTCTTCCATCCTCCTCACCTCAGCTGCCTGCACTGCTCTGGCTGAGTTTTCCAAGCGCTCCTCCCTCTCCGGCTAGTGATCTAGTGATGGGGGGGGCAGGGGCTTGGGAGCGGCGCTGCCGGTGGCCCCAGGGATGCCTGGAGCAGAGCCGCTGGTCACCTTGACCGAATGCCCGTGTCTTCGGAAGGAGAGGTCTCCTTGTCAGAGCGTGTGAGGCCCGGCCCGGTGGCAGCGCTTGCCGGGGAGGTTTTGGTGGGGGTAGGGGCGGGGAAAGCCGGCGCCCTGCCTGACTTCTGGGGGTGCTCGTGGGGGTTGCTGCGCTCTGAGGGAGAAAGGGGACGTCAGAGAAGTTGTGGGCGAGGTGCTGAGATGCCCCTTAGGACGCATTTGGTTTGTTTTTTAGGTTGTCATGGTGTTTTGTTGAAGGTTCTCTTTCACTCCTTATGTGTGTCTTGGTCATTGAGTGGAGAATATGGCTGATTGGTAGTAACCTTAGAGAAAAGGAATTCGTGGTTGTAGTGTATGGTGTAAAATGTCAAAATATTCTTTCTCTATCTGTAAAAACGCGTTTCGGGTGGTCCCTCACGGTTCCGCACTTGCCTTACTCAGGGGAAAGACCATCCCCCCCCCCCCTGTACTTTTGTTTTGTTATTTAAAACTGGTGTGAGCTCCTCAGTAGCTGGAGAGGTGGGCGCCTGGCCTGGCTTGGCCTCACTTCCCAGGGCCTGTGCGATGCCTGTAGGGGTGGTGGGTTGGGGTTGGCTGGATCCCCTGGGTCTGAGCCTTTGTGTGGGTGAAGCCCCCTTATTTCTGCCAGGGGCGGGGGAGGAAGCTGTGGTTGGAAAGGGGCATCTCTGCCATCTTTGTCGTGGGTGACCCTGGGCTCACTTTCGTCTTCTGTTCTAATGTCACCATTAGAGATGTCTTTGTGTGACAGACAACTCCTTGAAAAAAACTGTAAACATACCGACTCTTTGCAAGAGTTGTCACGAGTGTTTGCGTTAAGTCCCCCGTACTTAAGAGCAGAGAGCAGCCCATGTTGACATTTGGGTGACAGATGTTCTCTAGAATGGAAAAGATTTATATCCATGTCTTCATTGCCCCCCACCCCCTGATCTCCACCGATGGGGAACTCTGATCATTTACCTCACCTCATTTTTATAACAGCAGAAGCAGAAAGAAAAAGTAAAAAGTTCGACCCTGAGACAAAGTTCTCTTTTAAGTAGTATAATTCTGAAAACCAAAAGGACAGAATATAAATACTCTAGTTATATGCGCGGTCAGGAAATACTAGGTTTTCCTACTTGATGTTTCCTCCTCATTGAAATCTTTCGTCAGAAACACGTAGAAAGAGGTGAGTGGCTTATAGAAGTAACTACCCTTGGCCAATAGCTCGTTCTCATTACAACCTGGAGACACAAACACTTGGGAAGGGCTTAGGGGCAAGCAGGGTGGCGCAGGCTGCCCCGAGGTGTCCACTGGGCTCACGGACTGCTGGCGGTGGGAGTGTGTGTGAAGGAGGCTTGCCCCTCGGTGCCTCCCCTCCCGGCAGGTCGCAGCTCCAGGTGGGGACATGTGGGACCGAGGTCTCACCCGGGCCTGACTTGACGTCAGCCCTGGGCCTTCCTTCTCCACTCTCACTGCACACGATGAGCCCGTGTGGACTTTGGTTTTAGCAACTTCCATCTTAATATTCTTTGTCAGGACAGTTTTGTAAAGAAGCGTTGATGTTACTGTAATTAATTTGCTCGTTTGAAGGTACCAGAGTCTAAATTTTATCCACTGTGGTAATGGCAAGAACGGAGAAGAGGTTTTTGCTGCAAAGGCAGTTGTCCCAAGAACTCTGGAAAGCCCTAGTTTCATACAGCTTAGAAGTCATAACATCGAAGTAATATTATGATTTTAGTTGAACGAAGAAAAAAAGTGATATGACACCAAAATGAGCATGTGCGTAAATGGTTCTCAGAGATCTTTTCAGATAGATGCTGCGTGACAGATGCTTATTCCTGTGGGTGCTCTCTTGGCCTGGCACGTGGACGTCTTCTGCGACGTCCGTCCGTTTGTCCTGCTTTTGCAGAGAATTCTCTCGTGTCCCTCTGAGCTTTGGCTGGAGAGTAGGTTCTCCTCCTAGGACAGAGCACTGTTTCCTCACCGTCGATGCCTTGGCCTTGGCCCGTGGGCTTGCCCCTCACTTCAGATGAACGCTCTCGGTGCTCCTCTCCCTGCTTGGAAGGACAGGTGGCCAGGGCATTGGTTCCCACCCACGACGAGGGCAGGTGTCTGTTGGTAGGGAAAGGAGGAGCCCAGTGGTGGCCGATTGTGCTGTTTGGGCCAGGCCGGGTTCCAGGAGGGCTGACCCGGAGCCGGACGGTGGAAGGTGGAGAGCCCAGTGCTGAAGGTCTGGGCCACTCTTGCCAGCCAGCGCTGTGGCATGAGGGATGTTTGAACGTTTAGATTTTGTTGCTTGACGCACTGCGGCCTTCTTTACTTGGAGCCTCGGTGGCCCAGCTAGAAAGCCGGGCTGATGGGTTCGTGAAGCGGATCTGACGGGGATGGATGGGACACGGGGATGGATGGGACACGTGGCTGTCACGTCGCGTTCATTACGCATACGCTGTCCCAGTTACGGGACGTTTTTCTCTGGGCTTCGAGCGTCATGTTGCTGTAGATGTAGTGAAGTGTGAGGACAGCTTTACTCTCATCGGAACCGTACCGGCCTTAGACACGTCCTCAGTCACCTGGGAGTCTGGTGCCGTGGCTGACTCTGGTTATGTGAGTGAGAAAGTTGCCGAGGTTGTCACAGGAGGGTCACAGATCCTGGGGACATGTCCTGCAGCTGTGGGGGCAACGTAGGCCAAAGGCCTTAGAGTTTTCCTTCTTACATACCTGGGTAACAGCGACATTTGTAAAGAAAAAAGAAAAATGGCTGTTGGGGAGCCATGTGGGGCAGAGGTAGCTTCCCCGAGTGTTTGCTTCGGCCCTGTGGGCTCGGAGGACCGGCCGTCCTTCCTCACCCTGTCTCTGGGCTTTGCCCAGGACTGTCCCCCTCGTCGTAAGTGTGGACAAAGCTGTCGTGGTGGCTGGGGGTGGCATGGTGTTTCAGGCACATGTGGGTGTCTTTTGGAGCTCATCTGTCAGCAGGAACCAGGAAAGGGGTCCCTTAGACCCTCCCGGGGTCTCCGTCCTCTCTTGCTGCTGACTGTACTCGGGCACAGTACGTGCTGTGTGCTTACAGCAGAATTACCGGAGTTTGAAAAGTCGAGGACTTTCCATGTTTGCCCCGTGAGAGGTAGGTCCGTACTTGCTAGGGCCCCGTAGGGAGGTGTTTAGGAACGTGGTGTGTTTGCTTCCTGGGTGGTGGATGATGGTGAACCCAAGGGGCAGAGGGTCCGGTCCCAAGACTGTTCTGGTGCCTTTGGGCCACAGTGGTTGAGTGTCCGGATCTAGTTGTGCCGTGCGAGTTGCCCTTAAGTCCCTGCTCAGAGCTGGGCAGCACAGGACTGACCTGGTTCAGACCCTGCCCTAGAAGGGAAGCAGCGCGGTGGGACAGAGCAGGGGTGCGCACGTGTCTGTTTCCTTGAAATCCAGACAAAGGTCGTTCCTCGGATGCTTCCAAAGCCCGGTTCAGCATATAAACGTGAGCTTTCCTCCTTTTAGATGATGCATTTGAAGAAAGCTTCTTTATAAATAGCTAGTCGTCTGTGAGTTGATCGAGACGTAATTAGCAACCGTTTTTGAAAATCCTGAAGCAGAGATTTAAAAGGACTCTGGAGAAACTTGCCTTAGGTTTAGGGAATTTGTCAAGTTCTGAAAAGCACTTTTCCTTCTCACGTTGACAGTAAGGTTTCTTGATTGTCCCGGGAAACAGTGACCGCTGAGGGCTCTCACCCCCGAGACTTCTTACTCCATCAGGCCTGTGTAGTG